GGGAGACCATACGCTATTTACACATGTGGGTCTGGTCTATTAAATTTTATTTTAAAGAGAAAAACATTTCAAAACAAGGTAATAGGAGGTAGCAATGTTACTAGATTGTTTATTATTATCTTTGAATTAGTTATTCACAGAATAAGATATAGCATTTAATTGTCCAACCAACATTAGCATGAACCGTTCAGAAATTAATATAACTATTTATCTTAACTATTACATATATATACACATATTAATATTTCTTTCTTTGCTTTTCCTTTCTTTCTTTTTTCTTTCCCCCATGCCAGGTTCTCCTTCCTTTTGAACAGTTTCTTTGTCTTTCACAGTATCTACTGTACCTTTTGGATCTTATTTACTCTTCCAGCTTCTCACATTAGGGAGGCAATATGATGTTTCCACAAATAGTTCTGAGGGAAATTTTCCAGGGGACAATTAAGTATGTATAGTGAATATTCTTCAGCCCTCTCTAGAAGGTTCCTGGGGTTCTCCACAGAGTCACTGTCCAGCAAGCCCCAAGAGACCTAATGACTTGTTTCTCCTTAGCAACACTATTGCAGGTACACTGATCATACAAACACAGAAAGGCTCTTCTCCCCAAATACAAAGTTCTCCTCATGGTAGACAGAGGCACTCAAACTCATGCAAAGCCACATGTGACAATAACTTGAGAAATGTATGAAAATATACAAGTCTCTTTTGTACCTGTCCCAATACTTGAAATTTCACCATCAAATCTGCAAGTGTATTAATCACTTATTTTTATTCTATTTCAAAAATCTCAAGGAAAGAAATGGTAAATTAATATGATCTGAACTTTTTCTAGCTATACTTTCAGTACTTTTTTCAGTATTTTTCTATTTACTAAATTCTAACAGTTTCAGAGAAAGTGCATGTCTTAGTTACTCTTCTCTAGCTGCTGGGACAAATATCTGACACCAAAAATGAAGGAAGGAAGGGGTTATGTAGCTCACAGTTGCTGGAGGTTTCAGTCCATACTCAGCTGGCTCCTAGGCAGAGAGGCGCCTGGCAGAGGGCAACCTTCATGGCAGGGTGACAAAGAGAAGAGAGCAATGGAATTGGCAGCAGCTCAGGAAGCTAGCTCTCTCCCCTCCTTACATTGTAATGCAGATTACCTGCCCCAGCAGCATCCACACCCACAATAATCAATCACAAACTCCAGAAACCCCCCATGACTGCATGAGGATTTGGGGGAACATCTAGCCACAAGCCATAACATTCCACACCTGGAATCCCAAAGACTCATGCACATTCCTTTATACAAAAAGCATTTTAGTCCATCTCCGAGAGTTGCCAAAGTCCTCCAGTTTCAGCATTGCTGAAAAGTCCGACTCCCAAGTCTCCTCTAAGATCAAAAGCAAACTCTTTGCTATGAGCCCCTGTACAGATGAAAAGTTAAACACTTCGAACATTCAATGACACACGATAAATATTACCATTCCAAAAGGTACAAACAGCAGGATGCCAAGCATTGGGACCAAAGCAAGTCCAAAATCCAGCAGGGCAAACATCAAGTCCAGTAGTTCCATGTGGAACATCCGAAACAATCTGTGACAATTGTAAGCTCCATGTGGTTCTGCCCCTATGGCACTTCTGGTGGTTGTAGCTCCCCTGGCTTCTCTCTTAGGCCAGCTTTAGTCCCTCCTTGCAGTTTCCCTTAGATGATCCATGTTCCTGTCTTTTCCAGACTTCTGGGGTTTCCACTGAATAGGCTTTTCACTCACAGCTTTACACACTGTCCTCTCAGGGGCACACTGGCTGGCTCGCAGGTCTTCTGAAATTGAGGTGGAAGCCTTCTTAACCTCAGAGCTCTTGCATTTTCTGCAAATGCCTAAAACCAATGCCACATGGATGATGCCAAGGTCTGCTGCCAGATGGAGCAGTAGCCAGGCTTCTTTCTCTCATGGCTATAGGGGTCAACTGCCTGGCTTGCTGAGCACTCTGATCCTGCTTCTGAGGAATAAATTCTCCATGCCAGCATATTCTGGAACCTGATGTTGCCACCACCGCCATTATGGAACATAGGGCTCTGTGGTTTTCCCCTCAAGGCAAAGTCCCTTACCCTTACAACTCTGAGGCTGCAAAGGGTGGAGACCTGCTACCTTCAGTGATCCCTTCAGATCATCCTTTCTATTCTCTTGTTCTTTCTCTGCAGTGGAGATCCTCTCAGCTCTGTTTTTGCATTCCACAGCTTTATAGGAGCTTCCTTTCTGGCCAAACTCACAAAATTTTAAATCATCCTGCTGGGCTCTTTGTTCTTCATTCTCAACATAAATCTGACTAAAAGCCCCCAACAACAGCCATGCTATTCCTTCAACATTTGGCTGCTTTGAAATTTCTTTTGAAAGCTTAATCAGTTTAGGCAAAGTCTCTGGACAGGAACAAAATTCAGACAAACTTTCCACCAAGCCATAGAGCAAATCATCTGGAGTCCAACAACCAATGTAGTCCTTCTGCCCAGAAGAAACCTCCCCAGCCTGGTCTTCATACACAGGCTTTTTCTCAGTCTTCCAGTCTTCTGAGCTCTGGCCAAAATCTCCCACACAGAACAGCTAAAGCTGTTCCAGCACTTCTTTTATAGGCAACATCTCCAAACCTTTCCTATCTCTTTCCATAAGCCATTTCCAAAAGCTCATAAGCCACATGGTCAGGTTTAGTCACTGCAATGACCTCACTTCTCTGGTACCAAATTCCATCTCCGCTACTTTTCATTCATTGCTGGGACAAATACCTGACACTCAAAATGAAGGGAGCAAAGGTTTATTTAGCAGAGGTTTCAGTCCATACTCCGTTGGCTCCAAGGCAGATGACAGCAGTTCATAGCAGAAGAAAACAATGAAGAGCAGGGGAGGAGCAGCAGCTGCAGCATCTATCAAGCCTCTTGTTCTTCTTTCTATGTTAGCTGTGAAGACCAGTGCTCCTCCAAGGGAGTAGCCATGCTATGAAGATCGGAGCTTCTTCGAAGTGGTGGCTGCAAAGATCAAGATCCTCCGAGGAAGTGACACTGCAAAGCTCAGAACTCCTCCAAGGAAGCAAGGCAGGAAGAAGCCTTCCTCAATCCTTTTATATACCCTTTTTGTGCTGAGTCACTCTAGGGTGGGGTGGGTCCTCCCCACCCTAAGGCGGAACCCCCACACCCCAGGGTGTGGAATCACCAAGCAAATCTAGCAGAGCTTCTGACATGTCAAGTTGACACAATGTATCAACCACCAGAATGCAAAAGGTTCATTTCTGAGATGCTCAAGGAGGAGAGTCCTTTCTGAGACTTCACATGATAGAAAGAATGATAAGAACTTCATCCTAGAGAGAAGAACTCTGACAAAAAGAGGAGAGAGCATGAAGGACTAAGAGATAAATCTGTTGCAGTCACAACTGGAAGGTATAATAGAATGGCAACTGGATTGGCCTTTGCACCCACCATGGGGATGGATGGAGCTTGCTCTAGGCATGTCTTCCTAAGGTATGGAGGCTTGACCTGAGAGTCTGTGTCTGCTCCCACCTATCTTCCTCCATAACACTGGTAACACTGTCCCCGCTCTGATTCCCAGACACCATGAAGCAGCTTTGCCTACCACACCTTTCCACATGATGTCCCTGCCTTGGAGCCAGTCAACTGAAGACCACTCTCCTGAAATAGTGAGCCAAATCAAAGCTCTTCTTTAAATCTTGGGTGTCAGGTGTGTGTTCAGCAATTGAAAACTCACATGCAAAAATCATACGCTGTTTAAAAGACTAAAAGTCTTAAGCATCATCTGTCCCTTCAAAAAAGCATTTCTGCATACTTTCACTATGCCAGGTTATATCCCAGGCAAAAGAGATATGGAAATAATAACCACAGCAGGCAAAATGTCCATACTTTAGCCTGCATTCTACTGGGAGAGGCAAGCATTTAATAAACAACTATATAGTATATAGTGCTGGGGGTAATGGTGAAAGCTGTGGGGGAATAAAGCAATATCAAGAAGGTCTAGGCTTTATTCTTAGCTCCTGGCCATGGTAAGTGCCTGATAAATCTGGGTTGAATTAATGGATGGTGAAATAAGTACATGCAAGGTTGTTTGCACTCTCAGCTTAAATATCCCTAATCAGAAAAACAGACTTGGAAGATAGCAGATGTAGCAAGTGAAAGAGGAAGATAAGGAATCCAAAGCATGCTCTGTAGGGCTGTGTTTGTTAACAAGGGTACCCATCACATGTGGCTATCATAGATAAGCACATAAGTGGGGCTGGACAGGGTTGTTTGGATTTTGTGGCCATGATCTGGTCAGCCTTGAGAAGAATAACTTAGCAGAATTCACTTGGCCTGAGACAGGTTTCATGAAGAGATCAGTCCACTAGAGAAATTAAAAATAATAAATGTCATTTTCACACATTAACCAGGCACTCAATTCTAAAGCAAAATGCTTAAATTTAGGCATGCAAATTCAGATACTAACACTTTGACCTGTTCTCTAAACAATTATTTATGTGACTATTGTTCTATTTTCCATTATTAGAATAGCTAATCCACTTAAGAGATGAAAAATAAAACGAATTTCTAGCAGTGTTGAAGAAGAACACATTGACAATGTGGATAACTGAAGTCAAAGGAGAGCAGGGCGACCTGACAGAAGGTTTTATATCTCATGACTAGTTTTTAAATGAGCTCAGTTCAATATCTTCATAAAATCAATATTAGAAAATGAGATAAAAAGAAACACTATTCAATTGCCTTAAGCAATGTGCATCTTAAAAAATATCTATGGAAAGCCTAACAAGTACAAGAGTCAGTGCATCCTGTGAGATGTAATGAGATTAATCACTTAATAAGTGTATCAAGCTAATCACTGACAACACGTATTGAGTGCATGTCAAATGCCAGGTGCTATGTTGCATTTCATGTCATTTAATTTCATGATGATCTCATGGTGCAAATGATGATCTGTGCTTTATAAATGAGGAAACATCAATAAAGGGAGACAGGCAAATGGGGTAGGATGGTCCAGCTTGTGAGTGGATTGGAACCCAAACCATCAGAACAAGCAGTCAAGCCCATGCCTCAGCCCTCATGGAGGGAAGATCCAGGAGGTAAATGGTACAGAGAGAAAATAACTAAGTACTTTGGGTATATACACAACAGACAAGTGTGAGGTACAGTATTTTGTTGAAAAGAATCAAAGGATGAGACAAGGAGCAGGAATGACTCTAGTTTCATTATGACCTTGGTGTTTTTCTACCAAACAGTCATCAGGACTGGACATGTAGAAAGTGGAGAGTTCAGTAGTGGTTCACATTCAACACCACCAAAGAGTCTCAGGTATGAGGCACTTAAGGAAGAAAGCCATGGTCACTCATTTGTATTGGGGCTGAAATTTTGGCTTCCATGTTACATATTATATTAAGAAATCACCAGCAGCTGTCATGCAAGATCTTTGAGCAGAAGTTCAAAAAGGACCGCTTCCTGCTGGTCATGGCCCAGGGAGTCCACTAGCTGTGTGGGCCCCCGCCACTAAGGAGAAGGAATTTCCTCATCTGTGAGTTCTTGGCCCCTTAGAAGTGCAAGTGATGGTCTTTGTAGAATGCAAGTCTCATAGCTATCGGCAGTGCTTCATTCTCTGATGGTTTTCTGAGGCCTGCAAGGTCAGTCTCTGCAAAATTTTGCAGCCAATAGAATCTGTCAGGACCTTGCTCTGGTTCTTCTCTGGTTGGTGTCTACATTTGACTTCCCCCAGAATATGTGTAATTCCAAGGACTCGCTCTTATCCAATAATTTCTGCATAACCTACAAGCATAATAGATTGAAGACTATTGCAAAAACCCACAGGAGAGAAAATGTGGAGATAACTGGTTGTGGAACTAAGAAATGACCAGAAGGTACACTCTAGAGAACTGGGTAACCCATTTAACACATGGAGTGAGGAAAATAGATAAGTGGAAGTAACTCAAGGGTTTCTAATTTAGACCCTAGGTAGGAGGTATTAAGTGGGTCAAAGAAATACTGGACATGTTAGAGACACTCACTCAGTTTTGAGCAGGTGGAATCAGAAATGCCTAAAAACAATCAGATAAGATGTCTAGTATGAAGCGAAATGTTTGGCTTTGGAATCAGAAGGGAGCCAGGATGAAAGCGTACAGTTGCCCTGAGGCTAGCCACCTTCAAATGAAACCTTTGTTCATAAGTAAGATGATCCTATACTTTATCTTCCAAAGTGGGACACATGTAATTTGAAGTGATATTATTAAAGATCACACCAGAACGACCAGACAAACTGGGACATACCATGGAACACAGCTGTGTCCCCAGAACGCATGCTGAGTAAGGCAGTGCAGGTGCTGCTCACCGGTGAGTACAGTGTCAGGTCATAGTCTGAAATCCACACCCAAGTGAAAAACTGGATATGTGATGCACACTGAAAGAAACTGAAGCACAACACCCACACTGGCCCCAGCAAACAGCAGGCTCCCTCCCCCAAGTTCTGGGATGGGCCCACTCTGCACCGCTCTGGTGCCAGGGATGGAGACACAGAGTGCTAGGAAGAGACAGACAGCAGATGTGGGTCACAGCCTGAGCTCCAGTCTGCAGCAGTAACTTGTATCTCAGACACCTACTTTGGGAGTGATGTTCAGTACATTACAGGAACACCCTTGTAAGTCTCCAGGTCAGGGACTGACCGTTGGTGAAGCTGCCCGTTCCCCAGTGTAAGTGATGGTTTAGGTTGAAACTTGTACCTAGGAAAGCCAGGAGGTGTCTGTCCAGAGAAAACTTACTAGGGCAATGTTTTTATAAAATGTAAATAATATAAAAATTATAAAGTAAAAGAATTTAGGTATTACATGACTCCACAAAAAGTCAGAAAAATGTGAAGAACTCATAAAGAACTAACAGAAAGCACTATAAGAAAAATACACCTAAGGACAAGAAATTCAAAATTTATATAGGATTAACACTTACTGTACAGAATTTTGTCCACCATAGATTAAAGTTCACCAGCTGTACTCCTCACACGAGCTAGGCAGATTTGTAAGGTTTGATTTGTATTTCACTGGAACTTCTCTCCCTGAGCTGATTATCAGCATTCCTGACCAGAAGCACAGTTTAGTTATCTCTTAAAGACTTTGTCATACATTTCCTCATCCTCAGAGCCAACTGAGAAATAAAGGCTCTTGATCCCAGCCTCAACATCCTGCACAATTTAATCTACTGCTAGAGCACTTAGCCACCTGCTCTCTCTCTCTCTCTGACCAAGAGTTTCTTCAAATCCAGCCAATGCCACCTCCACCCAGTGGAAATAACTGCTTATGGTAGCAGAGGTGGATCCACTGAAGCTGTGAGATTTAAAGTTGTTCTCAAAAGCTCAGACTCTTTGGAACTGACAGGAACTCTGTCCTAGGTCTCAATAAGAGCCAACAAATACAAAGCACAAAGGAAGAGAAAAGCTGCAAGATGTCCTGCAGCAACATATAATTAGGACAAGAGACAATTTCTAAGCCACAAGGTTGTCTGTGTGCTTGTTTCAGGGTGAGTGTGTGGCTACAGAGTTAAGTAAAGCAAGAACATGCCTAATTTGAGAAATATACTGCAGCCTGTGTAAAAACTTTCCTGTCTGTAATTCCAGAATTCAGTTGCTAGTATAAACAAATGAGCTGTCCAGCCAGTGAACAGGTGGGGATAGATTCAGGAGGCATTTGCCAAAGGAATAACTTCAGAGAGCTTCTATTTTATTGAGCTTAGAGGAGGAAAATCTGCCAAAGGTGCTACCTGACTCTAGTCAGCTGTCAGGGCTTGCATGGCATCCCAGGTGAGCTCTGGCCTTCTCTCCTCAACACATCACCCCTCACTGCTCTAGAAAAGTCAGACACCTCAAAGAAAGAAGACATTAGGGCTGGTGAGATGGCTCAGTGGTCTAAAGCACCTACTTAAAACAAGCTTAGCAAAGCACAGGGACCACGGTTCAATCCCCCAGCACCACATGCCAGCCAGCTCCGCCCCCTGGTGGGCTGAGCTGGCCACACACACACACACACACACACATAAATAAATGGAAAAATTTAAGAAAAAAAAATAAAAAAGAAAGAGGACATTAGACATTCATGTCATTGCTGAGTGACTACAAGGCCAGGCCTAGAGCTCTGAGTTATCCTGCATGACCTGTATCCCAACAGCAAAGTAAGGGAGCCCATGGCAGCACCCACACCTCAAAGTTCACTGAGGAAGCAGAACTCAAATGCAGAGAATGAAGTCATCTGATTTCTATAAGCATCCATTCCCAAATGGAAGGTAGAATGAGGAAATTGTTTCAAACTCTGCAAAGCTGCAGAATGCCCTGGCAAATCATTTGGAAAGCTATGCATCTAAGTGAAGTGTGAACACACACCTTGAGCATTTTTTCTTAATTTAAATATACTGGCTTGTGAAGATTCACCTTCCCCTGTCAATCACTTGTCAGACCATCACTGTCTGTGCCCAAACTCACATCTGGAGGAGTGCATGGAACAATCTGGCATGTGCTTGTTTGTGTTTAGGCTTTTTCCTTATTTCCAAAAATAAGCCAGAGTGAGCTGGAATGTGATACACACTTCAAGCTGAGAATGATGCCCTGCCTTGGAAACTGCTCACAGCACGACTGTCATCATCTAGTCAAGATTTTCCTCTAATGTGGCCCAGTATTGAAACAAAGAATACGCTGTTAATTTTTTATGTATATGGGCAGACCATAGCGTTCAATTATTTTAGAAATAATCTATTTTATAAAATATTTGATTTTTAAAAGGCAGAGTATGAGATCAACTTCCCAGATATTCTAGCAATTATTTGGTAAGGGCTTTCTTCATTATTCCATCACAGCACCCGTGTCCAAAATTATCTTCAGCTGTGCAATTATTTGCAGTTAATAAATATCTGTTGAATAAGTATACTAGTTTGCTAGTGCTGCCACCACAAAGTGCCACAAGTCAGTCAGGTTAAATAAGAGATTTGTTACCTCATAATTCTGGAGTCTGGAAGTTTGAGGTCCAACTGTGGGCAGAGTTAGTTTGTTCCTTCCAGGGCCTCTTCCTTCACTTGCAGCTGTCCACCTGCTCTCTGTATCCACACCTGACCTTCTGGATGTTTGTGTCCAAACCTCCTCTTCTTGTAATAAGGACCTCAGCCAGATTTCATTAGGGCCTAACCTAAGGACTTCATTTTATCTTGTCTCCAAACTCAGCCACATTCTGAGGGGCTACAGGTTAGGACTTCAACAAATTAAATCTGGAGATACACAACTGAGCCTGTGATAGTAGGTCACCAACGCTGCAGGCTGGTCTCCTTGTTGCTTGATTTCTTGCTTGGTTACTTGGTTGATTGGTTTTGCAGTACTAAGGATCAGACTCAAAACCTTCACACTGAGCCATACCTTCATCCCCTTTTTACTATTTTTTTAGGAGAAGAGGGTCTCACTTAATTGCCCAGACTGGACTCAAACTTAAAACATTCCAGCCTCTGCTTCATGAGTACCTGGATTGTATAGACCTGTGCTACTGCACTAGACTACATTGGTCATTCAGATGCTTTCAGGACCGAAACTCTGAGTTTTATCCATCTCTGAAACTGTTAGAACAGATTCACACCCTATCACCACCACCAAAAAGAATCAATATTCTTGTGTCTTATGAAACTCAGTGTGAGAGTCTTTTTCAAGTTGGCTGAGTGGTCTCTTATGGCTCATAGGAAAGGAGCTTGAAAATAGTATTTGAAAAATCTATGTTTTTGAAAACATATGAGTTAAATGCTTTACCTTTACTCCAAACTGCTGTTCTTTTCTCCTGTCTGTGTGGAGGTTAATTATTTCCTCGATTCCCAGGGTAGCCCACCTGTTCATACTGATGTGCATTAGTGCTTAGGAAGATACAGCAAACATTTAAAGACATACATAGAATACACAGTTATGCAAGAAAGTGGGTCAAGCTTGAGGGAGGCCATCTGTCAGAGTATGTTTTGGCCAAAGGAAAACATAAGAAGGGAACTTGTAAAGGAGGCTGAAGTATTGTAGCCAAAGGGCACCAACAGAGTTCTGTGGACTCCAACTGTCACCCTTCTTTCCAGAGAGCTGCACTAGATGTGGAGACGTGTGTGGCTACAAAAGCGAAATGCAGCAGTACAAAACCTCACTTTCCACTTTGGAAATAAGGACAGAAGCAAAGCACTCAATTCCTATATTTTTAAAATAACATACCCTATAAAATATTTAGTGCATTTTAGGAGGCAGACTGTAAAACCAAATTCTAGATATTTTAACAGTTATCATTTTTATTACAATGTATAGCATATGTTTTATTTCACATGAGTAAGTTCTCCATGTAACTTACATATGCATGCACCAAAGGATGCTTAATGATTTCATCATGTGTTAGTCAGAGTTCTCTCTTATATTTCCATATAGACTCCACAAACTCTAATATTATCCTTCAATGTCAATAAAAATCCTACTGAAACGTTGGTTGAGGTTGCATTGAGTCTAAATTTGGAGGCAATGAATGTTGTAACAATAATGAGTCTTTCATTCTGTGAATATAGTTTATCTTTCATTTATTTAGATCTTCCCTGTTAGCTATATTTTTAAATGAGTGTGGATTTTGCATACCTATTTTTCCTAAAAATTATTCCTAAGTATTTTATGATAACAGCATTATTTCTTTAATTTTATTTTCCAACTTCTCATTACTGCTACAAAGGACACAGAGTTTTGCATATTAGAGTTGCATCTAGTGACCTTCATAAATTCACTTAGTCATTCCAGTGGTTCTAGGTATACAAGCACATTCAGAAAATTTTTAAAAATATATGTTTCTTTCTAATCACTATGACTTTTCTCCCATTTTATTTGTTAGCCAGCACCTCAGGTACAATGTTGAATGGACATGATCAGTCTAACTTGCAGTTTGACAAAACAGTTCTTTCCAAAGAACCAAGGTTTGGGCTTTCTCAGGGTCTTTTCCCCCCTATTGCTTTCCCAATTCCTGCTTTATTAACTCTTAACTTTTTTTCCACCTAACTACTTTAGATTTAATGTGTTTTCTTTTTATTTAGATTGAGTACAAATCTAGGTAGTTGATGTTGAGCATCTTCTCTTAAATTATATAGAGCAATAAATCCCCTTCTGTATTAGTGAGCTCTCCCAGTGCTGAGACACAATACCCAACACCCGCAAGGAAAAGAGATTTAATTTAGCTCACAGTTGCAGGAGATTTAATACATACTTGACTACTTCCAAGTAGAACTATCCTAATGGAAGGTCATGGCAGAACAGAAGTGACCAGGGAAGAGAAAAGAGGAACAGTGTGGAGAGGTGGAGAGACACATGC